TTAAGCCAAAAAATTCCCACTACAAGAAATTTCAGGAAAGTGACATAAGATGTATAAACTGATGTATTTTCCATGTAACAAACCACGCCTTCGAGTCATTTCACTTCACCTCTGTGGTTGATTTTCCCCAAAAATATGTAGTTGGATGAAAGTAATTCCCTGAAGCAATTAGGGCTATGTGCTGCTGACTCCAACCCTAAAGGTTAGCTGGGAGGAGATGCATCCCAGACTTTGTATTCATAAGGCAGAGAAAGAAAATGGTTCGGCCTAAGGTAAGGTCCTGCCATGGTGACAGGGAAGGGAAAAGAAATATGCATTTACTGAGCCCCTACTTTGTCGAAGTCAGCGCTGTGCTGACTTATATCTCCTTCAACCTTAGAAAAATCTTAAGGATATTATGCACCTCCGTATTCCTCAGAGAGAAGCACCCAGAAGGTGGTGCTGATGGTGGGAGAGGGACTGCCACATGGCTCTGGATTCAGACTGTCTCAGGTGCAGGCCCCCACACCTTGAAGCCTTGGTATAGAGGCGCATGTTTGCTGCAGTCCCGCCCTACACACCCCCAGATGGGTGTCTCATCCTGGCAGGCTTCAATATCTCCTCCACCTGTAAGGCAACCTCACCCACTTGGGTCTATCTTGTTTTCTTTCCTCTCTTCTTTCCTGGTTTTCTTAGTGAGGTCGCCAAAGGGGGGATGGCTACATAATGGGGGTTGGGGCATTGCAAAACGAAAATGCGCAATCTTTAGTTCAAAAACAGGGAAATGCCATCACAGATAATAAAATAGAAAGCATTTTTCCATCTTTGGTGATCTCTCAACTGTTTATGGTGTCCTTTATTAGCTATTTATGTCACTTTAAGATAAGAAAAATTAAAATATGAGTTAGTATTGTGAGTTTTACCATTCACTTTTATCTTGTGCAATGCCAGCTTAAAATGCAATTAGAAAAGTATTTAACTCACATGTGGATTCACCAAAATCACACAACTGGTATTTCAAAGCCCGTGCATGCATATGTATTTTGTTTGTTTGTTTGTTTGTTTGTTTGTTTGAGTAAGAGTCTCACTCTGTCACCCAGGCTGGAGTGCAGTAACATGCTCACAGCCACTGTCGACCTTGACCTGCTGGGCTCAGGAGATCCTTCCTCCTCAGCCTTCCAAGTAGTTGGAACCACAGGAATGCGCCACCATGCCTGGTTGATTTTTTTTTATTTATTGTAGAAACAAGGGCTTGCCATGTTGCTCAGGCCAGTCTCGAATTCCTGAACTCAGGCAATCCTCTCGCCTCAGCCTCCCAGAGTGCTAGGATTACAGGCATGAGCCACTGTGCCCGGCCACATATGTACTTCTTAATGCAACACTGGAGACGCTGCACAAATTAAGTGAACTGTGTTTATTTCACTTGGTGTGCATGCATTCTGTCAAAGGTCTCTACCGTTGGCTGCTGATGAGTAAGGAAGAGCCAAGAAGAAAAGAAACAAGAGGTTTCCCTCTCTCCCTCTTTCCTACTCTGTCCTCATTTTCCATGAAACTGATTTGCTAACACAGGAGGTACAGAAGAAAGGGAGACACAAAAAAGTCCCTTGATGACCCATAATTCCTGGACCACCACTCCCTTCCTTCTGTATATGAAGCAAGTTTGAGCCCAAGTGGAAGGTCCAGCCTCTTGGGGTTGTCATGCCCCCAGCCTCCCACCAGCCCTAGTTAAACAACTTATGCAAAACCTTGCTCTCCTTTTTTTGATCACTGAACTCCCAGGATTATGGGAACTCTGTTCCCCTGCGCTTCCCAAACCCGACGTTTGAAACAGCAAATACGCCTGAAGTGTGTGCGTGTCTCCTGTCTTCCCATTCATATTTGTCCCACGGACATCACTTTCAACAAAGATAAATATATGAAGAATGTCAAAACAGGGACAGCAGAGCATCAAGCCAAGCAGCAGAGTCTCTTGGAGTGTGAAGCTCCCGTGGCAATCCTGTTGGCATGACATGCCAGTCGGGCCTTGTTCAGAAACAGCTGGGGAACCTGCCCGGAAACAGTTTCAGGATCGAGCTTCAAAGATGCTCGTGCAGGGTGCGGTGGCTCACACCTGTAATCTCAGTCCTTTGGGAGGCCAAGAAGGGAGGATTGCTTGGGATTCGGAGTTCAAGACCACCCTTGACCACATAGCGAAACGTCATCCCCACAAAAAAAAAATCAAAAAATTAGTCAGGCATAGTGGCACACTCCAAGTACTTGGGAAGCTGAGACTAGAGGATCACTTGAGCCCAGGAGTTCGAAAGCAGCCTGCACAACATAGCCAGAACTCATCTCCACACAAAAAAAATCAAAAAGGTAGCCAGGCATGGTGGTGCATGTCTATAGTCCCAACTACTCTGGAGGCTGAGGTGGAAGGATTGCCTGAGCCCAGGAGGCCGGAGGCACAGTGAACCACGATCCTGCCACTGCATTCCAGCCTGGGTAACAAAGTGATACCCTGACTCAAAAAAAAATCCTCATCTCATGCTGGTGGCATAAGATGGTTCACGAATCTATATTTTTGACACTCCCTGAATGATTGAAATAACCTTCCAGGTTTGGAAAACACCACCCTAGAGCAATTCCAAGTCCCTGAAATACTGTTCACTGTCCAGGCCCTGGGCCTGGTAGTCCAGTGCTCTTCTTTCACTGGTCGACTTGGGGAAAACCCAGTGAAGAAGGAACAAGGGGGAAAAGGAAGGCAACCTGCGGGCCCACGGCAGTGAGCTGGCTGCTGTCATCATCTTGGTGACTGAGGGGCTCCTGGTTCCCCTGTGCCTGTGCTCTGGGACCCATCTGAAGCAGGGGAGTCTCCAAGCTGAAGTTGTCGACTTTCCCCAGATGGCTCCAGTCCCAGGCCCCTCACCCTGTGGCTGACTCTGGACTGCCTGAGGCTGCAAGCCAGTTCTGCAGTATCAGCCCAACTCCTTCCTCGTCATCCACATTGGTCTGTCCTTTCAAATCACACAGAAATCACAACCTCCCCCCCTTTTTTTCTGTCCCCGCTGTCACTATCTTGATTTATTTGAACCTCAATCTTTCCTCTTCTGAGCCCCTTGAATGCCCTTCAGTGAGGCTCCTCGTCGGCCTCCAAATTCTATCCTCCTCATGACTATGAGATTCTTCTAGCACCCGGATTTCATACAGTCCTCTCATTCGAAACCCTCTCACAGTTCCTGGGAGTGCTGGTTAATTATTTAAATCGTCATTGTGGCGCACTAGGCCCTTGATGAGACAGCCCTTTCTGCTTTTCTGCTTCCTTTCCTGCCACAGACACCACGTGTCAGGTAGGCCCGGCCGGTAGTTCTTTGGGTGGCCACTTCCTTCTCTGCCCCTTGCAGCTGCTACAGTGTTACTCCCTCTGCTTTAAACAGTGCTCTTCCGGCCCTCCCCTCTTGGCTCTGTCCAACGTTCTTGCCTGCCATTTTCTGGGTTGGCTCAGAAACCAACTCAAAAGTCACTTCCTTTTACCTTTTCTCACCCTCCTCCTCATCCCATCTGCTTTATTTCTTTTTTAAATTCAAGGAGTACCTCTGTGGGTTTATTACATGGGTGTATTGCGTGATGGTGAGGTTGGGGCTTCTACTGAGCCCAGCACTCAAATGGCGAATGATAGGTGGTCTTTCAACCCCTGCCCCCTCCCTCATCCCCCCTCTAGGAGTCCCCAGTGTCTGTTGTTCCCATCTTATATGCCCATGTGTAGTGTTTAGGTCCTACTTTATAAATGAGAACATGCAGTTCATGGGGACTTGCTCCCAGTTCCCGACGTACTTGGTCAATGGTAGGTCGCGCAATGCAGTTGCTCCCAACCGTGGCTGCAGATAAGACTCACCCCAGAGAGGTTTCAGAAGTAGCCCAGCTCAGAGCCTGTGTTCACGCATCTCTAAATCATTTTTCTGTCTGCCACCTTAGGAAGACCTCCTCCCTCAGCACTATCTGAAAGCCCATTCCTGCAGGCCTTTCTCTCTGTTACCCTGATGGAACACACAATAGAGCCAAGTCAGCTGACAAAGCCTCACCCTTACACGTGCAGAAGGAGAAGCTGTGCATATTCACATATTGCATCCATGTAATAATACATTTCATCCATGTCCAAGGACTCACCCCTGCTTTTCCCATACGACCAGACCTCTAGAGGGGGTCCTTATATTCTTCATGTTAGCAAGAGTCTTTGCCTCAGTTTCCTGTCTGCCAACTTCATATTGAGGTCTTCTTTTACTGCACCCACAAGCACACGTTTCAGAAATTGGGCTGCGTATTTGGGTCCCTTTCTCCTGTGAATGGACAAGAGCTCTACACCCACTGATCATCCCAGAACTTCCTAATCCCGCCATGCCTACTGCCAGGACTTTCCCCTACTGACGAACACTGGGTCTCTCCCCAACATTCCCCTTTCCCATGGTCCTCCACAAGCTGTCCCTGGGTCTCTGGGTCCTGGAACACAGATGACCTGAACTAATAGGAGGAGAGAGAATAGGGAACACAGAAACAAACCACCTGTAACTAGTTATGGGGCACAGTTAAGAGCTTTTGCAGTAGAACAACGATAACATACTCTGAGTAATCATAGGAATAAATTGTCTTATACTCTTCTCATATCACAAATGAAACTTCAGAGCTGATGCGAGGTCATCTCAGCCTTTTGAGTCTGGGCAACTAGCAGAGCTGTTCTTCTCCATTGTAAAATTTTCCTTGTTATAAAGGCACACTGAATTTCACACAGTCAAAAGAAGATTTTAATCCCGTTCAACTCTTTAGTTGGTCGTTGATCATTCCCTGGGTTGGCAGAACCCTCGTAGAGTCAAAGAAATAAACTTATAGTTCCCAGACCAGTTCTAAGGGTGGGAATAGTGACAGCCACTTGCACACATGCATGAGTTCCAACAAGAGGTTACATGTCTACACCAATCCATGCAGAATGAGCCAGCCAGTCAAACGCACCTGGATGGACTCCTGAGTTCCCATGTGTCTTCTCATTCCAGGTTTGGATGGTGATGACTTCCTGGCAGTGGGTCTGCTCACCGGCAGGGTAGTCTACACATATAACCTGGGATCTGGTGTAGCGAGAATCAGGAGTGAGCCCCTTGACCTGAGCCTTGGAATCCACACCGTCCGTCTGGGAAGATCCTTCCGAGAGGGCTGGCTAAAGGTAAATTCACCCCTTCATCAGACCCACCAAGCACTGGAAGGTTGTTAGATCATGCTAAGGCACTGAGGCAAACAGGCCACATTGGCAAAGTCCACAGACTGTCACACCAGATAGGGGACTAGAGGGGTGATCCTAACTAAGTAGGGTGAGAATAAGCAAGGATGAGAGAGGGAGTTCAGGAAACTCTTCCTAGAAAAGGTGTTGCCTGAGCACACATTTAAATAGGAGTTAGAAAAAAGATCAGTGGCCAGTGTGAGGTCAGTGAAGAGGTCAGTGTGGTTTTCAGGTGGGGAACTGGGGAACAAGGAATGTGGCTAGAAGTAGACAAGGTCTGCATTGTCAAAGGGCTTACATGTCATGGTACAAAGACTAGATTTTTATCCAAAGAGCTACAGAGCACCCTAAAAAGGGAGGTTGGGTACCATGTTAATTTCTATGTTTTGATAAATGGTTCTGGTGGTACTGTGAATGAATAAGAAAGAGGGCCCAGCAGAAGGGAGGGAGCCAGCAGGAAGTCAACTCAATCTTGGAAGACCTGTGATTTTTATTGAAATGCAAAGTCATGACTGCTGTATTAATATATCCATGGTAACAGACACCAGCAGAGAAGCAGAGAATCGAATGAAATCGTGTTTTTTATTTCTTCAAAATTCAGGTCTTTGTAAAATGTTCATGCCAAGTTAATGGGAAACAACAAAAGAGTATCTTAACAGTTAACTCTAGGGAATTAATGCCTTTTTAAATAGAATTTAAATATTTTTTCCTTTTGAAGGTAGATGATCATAAAAATAAATCCGTCATCGGCCCGGGAAGACTGGTTGGTCTCAATGTCTTCAGTGAGTTTTACGTAGGTGGCTACAGTGAATACACTCCAGGTCTCTTACCAAATGGAGCCAATTTTAAAAATGGTTTTCAAGGTAAGGCATGGACAGTTTTTAGACTATCCCTATCTATTTCAAATGTTGAGAACAGCAAAACTTTTAAAGAATATTCATCTAGTTCTCAAGCCAGCTATGTAAATTTCTTTTTAATCAGACTTGAACCAAGTTTGATTTTTTAAAAAAGCATTCATTCATTCATCACTGATACTTTACTACATATGTACTCAGTGTTTAGGTTATTTCAAGGAACAAAACAAAGATTTCAGCATTTGTTCTAGATGGAGAGAGAAACAAACGATAGACCCTAAATATAATAAATAATTAAGTTTTATAGTGGTATATTGTGATCAGTTCAATGGGGGGAAAAAGGAGATGAAGAACGTGACTTGAGAGAAACAGCAGTGTAGTTAATTTATTTTTTATTTTTTTGAGTCGGTGTCTCACTCTGTCACCCAGATTTGAGTGAGTGCAGTGGTGTGATTACAACTCACCACAGCCCTGGCCTCCCGGGTTCAGGTAATCCTTCTACCTCAGCTTCCTGAGAAGCTGAGACTACAGCTGTGCGCCACCATTCCCATCTAATTTCTTACACTCTCGGGGGATATGAGGTCTCACTATGTTGCCCAGGATGGTCTTGAGCTCCTAAGCTCAAGTAATCATCCTGCCTTGGCTTCCCGAAGTGCTAGTATTATAGGCATGAGCCACCATGCTCAGCCAGGAGATTTTTTTTTTATGGGGCACTTTCTAATATAGGGTGAGCACAGTAGATGTCATGAAGCCACAATAAAAATGGAAACTTTTTGTGTCCTCATGTAGGATGATTATTTTGAAAAACTGAAACCCCATCTAACTTTGGAATGTACTTTACACAAAAGTCAGTCAACTGCAGTCAACCATCCATACCACCAAGGTATGGCCCGAGAGGACACAGCAAGCCATGAAGATTAAGGGGAAACTTGTGCTTGGGCCAAAAATCATATCACTATAGTCCATCTTCCTATGTTCAAAAAAGGAACAGAGGCCCAGATCTTTTCTATAAAGTTGATTCATATGTGGTAGAGTTATAAAATAGACAAGCTTTGGATTGCTATTATCACTCATTTGGTGACAATAAGCTTTTTGATGGATCCCAGTCCCAGTGTATTTGATAAGAGGACCACTCATAAGTATCCTCAGCCACTCACCCAGGTCCTGTCTACGATCCATCAGAAGCCATGAGCCAGCGACCAGGACTCCTAAGAGACAAGGGCTGCCACCAGGTACCATCTCAGGCACTGAAGTTCTCCACCCATGTGGCAGCATACCTTCCCTGACCTTGACTGACTTCTGCCTAAACACAAATGCAGGAGGCTATGTACTTGAAACATATGAAAGTAACACAGAAAATTCAGCAAAACACAAGGTTGGTTTCTAATAAAATTACATTATTTTGCCAAGGCTCTCAAAGAATCTTTTTCCTTGAATATGTAATCAGTGCTGATTCTCAGAAGGCTGTCTCCGAGAATAGTCTAAAGCATATTATGGCACTCAAGGCAGTAGAGAGCTCCACATTTCTCTCACAGCAAGAGATTGTCTGGAAAGGATTGTAAGAGCATAACAAATCAATGAGTTTCTAACAAGATTATATTCAAGGAAAGGGTTGGGTAAACTTGTGAATGCGAAAGAAGAGTATCTTCCACTCAGTGAAGCAGAGACACGGTAGGGGTGTGGAGCAAAACCTGTGGTCATGTATGCACAGACACAACCTTCCATCACTACTTTGGGTTGGAGAATTGCTACATGTAACAGGCTAGGACAGCATTGAGGACAAGAGTGTGGGAGGCTGAGGCAGGAAGATTGCTTGAGTTCAGGAATTCAAGGCCAGCCTAGACAATAGAACAAGATCTTGTCTCTACAAAAATAAAAAAAATTAGCCAGGCATGGTGGTGCACACCTGTAGTCCCAGCTATTCGAGAGGCTGAGGTGGAAGGATCACCTGGGCCCAGGAGGTCAAGACTGCGGTGAGCCATGATCATGCCGCTGCACTCCAGCCTGGGGAACAGAGCGAGACCCCAACTCAGAAATAAAAAGGACAAGAGTGTGTACTTAATCATCAGGATACATGCCCATGCCCAGCCACCTACAAGCTCCACAACCTGGCCAGTCATCTAACTTCCTGTGCCTTCTCTGTAAAATGGGGTAATAACAGCACTTCTGGTGTTGTGTCGCTCTGAGACTGAGTTCGTGGAAGGAGAACACAGTGAGTCCTGGCTAGGAGCAAGCCCTGTGTGTCCGCAGTGGTGACAGGGCCAGGTGAGACATACCTGTGTCAGAGGCTGACTCTAATCCCTCTGCATCACAAACGGGACCTCCGAGCCAGGCCCTGGAATCAGCTGGTCTTCATATGTAGACATCGCCACCCGGCAGCTAGGTAACTTCTAGCCTGTCACTTAAACTCCGAGTCTCCATTTTCTCCTCTGTGAAATCAAAATACCTGCCCTCTAGGGATTTTGTGAGTTAATCAACTAAGTAAAACAAATTATGTTCAGTGCTCAGCCCAGAAATCAGCACACAACAAGGGCTCAGTAACTGTTCACTGTTATCACTCCGCCATGCTGTCATGGGATTCAGCATTTGCACTTTTATTGAAGTCCGGTGCTTCCTGGTTTCCTTCTATGTTAATTTCTCTATTCTACTAGGAACTGTTCTCCACATCTTAATGATGAAAACCAAGACCTGTTGTCTTCTCCTTACATGTGGTGATGAGCCTGAGGCCAGCACATGCAGCACTGGCCCTTCCTCCAGCAGGAACGTTAAGAGGGCTGACCCTGGAAGCCTGTCACCTGCTGCGTGTCTTAGTTAGGATGGGGATTTTGTGGGGGTCTTCTTGGTGATTGCCACTTGATCCACAGTCTTATGGAAGACCCAGGACCTCAGGGCCTGCTCATTTTATCAATCTTCTCTTGGATCCTCTCTTGATATCTGCCTTCCCTCCATTGTAAACTAGCATTTACTCTTTATCACAAATCACAGACAATTATTGCCAACATACCCTAACAGCCAAATTCTAACTGCACTATAAACTTATAGTTCTCAAAGCTGATCCCTGCTAGTTCTAACTACCAGTTAACTTCTTGAAAATACAGATTTCTGGATCCTACTCCAGAACTATTTAATTGAAACCTCTACAGGGGGGTCTAAAAGTTTGCATTTTAACAAGAATCTTGGATTTGGAAGGCACTATATTAATTAATCATAACAAAGTAAATAGCATTTTCTGAAAGAGTTCAATAATTAGGGTAAGGCTATCACATTTGTCTTTAGAATGGCAATTAAATCACAGAATAAAAGATTATCTGACTTGGGCTTTCACATTTCTATGAACATTCTTGATAAATAACTTTGATCCAAAGTTCTCCATCTAAAATACAAATCCTTACTGCTGATAAAGCCTATTTTTTTTGTCCTGAAGATGATTTATAATGAACCATTGTTTTATGATTTATAATGAATCATTGTTTTTCTATAACCATTAATGTTTGTAAAGAAATTGAGGTTAGCCAGCTTCAGCAGTCTACATATGCCAAGCCAACAGTGGCTTTCCGTTTTACCTGTCCCAGTAAGAGCAGTTCTCCTCTCCTCTGCCTCCAAAGTCTATTACAAATCTACAGAGTTCTCAGCCGTAGATTCATGGACAGTCGTCTTAGAATGAATGACTACACAAGGAAGGAAGGAAAGAAGAAAAGAAAATATGAAGGAAGGGGAAGGAAGGAGGGGAAGAAACAAGCAAAACTGATGAGGTCACGCATGAAAATAAGCTGTCCTTTCACAAAAGCCCTGGCCCACAGACAAACTTGCGGCACAGGTAATTTCCTCAAGGCAGCTGTAAATACAGAACGACTGGAGTCAAACATCTCATCCCCACCCCAAATGCTTTTTCTCCATACACTTTTTTCCTTATTTACTTTGCTATTGCTACCAGTCTCTTCAATACTTATTAGAATTTTGGGGGCAATCGTTCTCAAAATGTGGTCCCTGAGTCAGCAACATCAGCATTACTGGGAAGTTTATTAGAGATGCAGAGTCTTACTGAACCAAACATTCAGGGGATATGTATTTGAATGAGTCCTTCAGGGGATTCTGATGCAGCAAAAGTCTGAGAACTGTGGTCTCACTGTCCTGTTTGACTCCTCACCCCTCCTCAGTTACTGATGTGTCAGAACACCGTTGCCACATGGCGACATCATACTACTTTCAAAAACTCAATAAACGCCCCATCAATTCTAGAATAATCAGTGAATTTTTTACTTGGCATTTCAAAGCCCATATAGTTTTTCTACACTTACCTTGCCTCCACAAATGTTTTATTCCATCAGAACCTATCTGTATTAGTCAGGGTCTCCAGAAAAACAGAACCAACAGGATGTGCATAAAGAGAGAAAGAAAGGGATTTATTATAAGGAATTGGTTCACATGATTACGGAGGCCAAGGAGTCCCAAGATCTGCAGTCAGAAACTTGGAAACCCAGAAGAACTGATATAGCTCAGCCTGAGTCCAAAGCCCTGAGAACCAGGAGGGCCAATGGTATGAGTTCCAGTCTGAAAGACATCAGGCTCAAAATTCAGGAAGAACCAATGCTCGAGTCCAAGTATGAAGGTCAGAAAAGACCAATGTCTCAGCTCAAGCAATCAGGCAGGAGGAGTTCCCTCTTAATCAGCTTTTTTGTTCTATTCAGGTCTTCAGTTGATTGGATGAGGCCCACTCACATTACAGAGGAAAATCTGTTTCTCTTAGCCTATTAGTTCAAGTGTTAGTCTCATCCAGAAACACACACATACCAAAAAGTGTTTGGCCAAATGTCTGGGCACCCTGTGGCCCAATCAAGTTGCCATAAGATTAACTATCACTACATCAAACCACTGCCTCCTTGTATGTTATTTTCCCTGCCTTTGAGCCCTTGCTCAAATAAATTAGCATCCTTCACCTTTTCAAATGTGATTTGCCTGAAAGACCAGCTCAAATTCCATCTCCTCAATGACAGCCCACTCTTGGAGCCCTCAATGTGAGGGCTCTTTCTGAAGCTTCTGGAGCTTCAAGTCCTTTCTCACTTAGCATCTCACTACATAATTACCCATGTAGAGTATATATGTCTTAACTTTCTAATAATTTAATAAGCTTCTGGAGAACAGGAGCTATAGTTTTGACTTACAACAGATATCCACAGTACCTGGAATGATGCTTTCACATAACACTTGCTTGGGGCAGAAGTTGTTATTATCAGATTCTTTCCCAGATCCCCTTGCAGGTTTGCATGACTGTGTACCTGAGTTCTGGCCAACGAGATGTCAGCAGGTATAATATTGCTTCTAGTAGGCCTTGCCTATGAAACCTGCACAGCCCTGTACCCTCTTTGCCAACACATCCAATGCCAACCCTGGCCACCCTTTGGACTTTACATGAATGAAAAATAAATTTCTAGTATTACAACAGCTAGTGCTCATTGATACAAGGGTTATTAAATATCTACTTCTCAAGTGAATAGAGTGGCCATGAGATAGATTCAGATTCTTTAACAAGATGTTATTTCAATCTAAAAAATAGCTAACAATGTCAATGCATTTAGTTTCTGGCTAGTTCAATCTTTTTCTCTCTCCTTTTTTTTTAATTGTATGGAATTTTTCAAACAAGATCCCATATGGGGAAAAGTAATGAGTTTACTGCAGTAATTTTAAAACCCTCTACAGTCAAAAAAAAAAATGCTGTTGCTTATTTGATACCTAGTCAGTCTTACTTTTCAATATACATATGACTCATGGTTCCATTTCGAGTGCAGGATATACACATTATGTGACAATGTCTGTTTTGTGGTACTACACTAAGCAGAATATGTTTTATCTGCTATATTAATAAAAATTAAAATAAAATTATATAATATATATTCCACAAATATCTACCTCTGTAATATTCAAATTGCTTTTAAAAGGTATGATATGTTGACTCACATGAAGCATCTCTCTGTAAAATAAACATATTTAGCTTTTTTTGTTAAGTTATGGTCTCACTCTGCCATCCAGGCTTGAGTGCAGGTGCACCACCATGGCTTACCACAGCCTCAAACTCCTAAGCTTAGATAATCCTCCCCCATAGCCTCCTGACTAGGTAGGACTACAGACATGTACTACCATGCCCAGCTAATTTCTTTATTTTTGGTAGAGGCAAGGTCTTGCTATGTTGCCCAGGCTGGTCTCAAACTCTTGTGCTCAAATAATCCTCCCTCCCTGGCCTCCCAAAGTGTTGGGATTATAAGCATGAGCCATCACGCTCAGCCCACATTTGGCTATTTTTATTAGCTAAATGTTTCTCTAAATATAGCATTGCCACATTTTTAGCCAAAAACATATTTTAGCAGTTCTTCATAACAAAAGCACTTTATTTGTACAAAAGAGAAATGGTTTTAAATGAACACTCCCAGACATTAATATATGTTACACTCATTTAACAAAGTATTTGTAGTGTATGATTATACAAATTACAAAAATGTAGTGCTAGCATCCCATAATTTTTGCTAAAAAGAAATCTCCAGTTTTATAAAGGAAATAGAGATTTCTGAAATAGTGTGTTAGAGGGTAGGATGGTGGCACGGAACCCAAGATCTAATACAGTATCCAAGATCTAATTTACAGGCATTGTACTAGGCAGTATATGTGTATTATTTTATTTACTCTTCCTAACCCATGGAGTAGCTATTTTTGTGCCCATTTTAAAGGTAACCAGGTTGGCCCTTGGTTAGATTTGGATCATCTAGCTGTTACATGGCAGATGTATTTGAATGCAGACCCACCTGGCTCTGTCCCCTCCTTATAGGTCTGCTCTCTTCAAAGTGCCCTTCTGTGTGCAAAAGTCAAGGGAAACTGCCTTTTTAGTTGAGCTACTTGGTCACTCATTCTAAAGCAGATAGGCATTCATTCACTTTTTCAGTCACTATGATACTTGAGTATTTGTGCATGTGTATAATAGTAAATAGTAGGACTCAGGCAAAGAGCAAAGATTACACGTAAGGAAATATAATCACTGTTTTCTGATAGTGAGGAACTATCATTGCATGCTGAGGACAGTACTTGTTGGTGCAAACACCAGTGAAAAATACATTGGAAAGAAAATTCTCAGCATTACAGAACTGAACCCACTTTTTTTTTTTCCACCATGAGGAATTATTACATGTTTTTAGGTTTTGAAAATGTTCTGGTAATAAAATCCAATCAAGCCCTTCCTTTATCATTTTGATGACTTTATTTATGGCTGATGTTCCTATTTGTTTGGAATAACTTTGTGAACAAATTCTAGGTAACTGCTGAGGAAGGTGAACAAAATTACAATGCATTTCAGGATCCCAAACACCTTCATTTCAACTTCCTCATTGAACTTCCCTTTCTGTTTATATTTATCTAACCTTGGGGTAGAAAAGTCCTTTCTAAGGATATGTGCAAACGCAAAGTCGCTGAAGGAAGAAAAGTACATAAAAAGCAACTGAAAGGAAAAATTACAAATGACCAGAACATTTATTAAAAGATTTTTGAATCACAACTTAAAAAAAAAAAAGCAAAAGAGCCTTTCACCAGTTATCTCAGGTAAAAATGAAATGGAATGATGATCTGCTGCATGCTGATTCCTCAACAAGGAGGTAGCCCAGTCTGCTGGGCCCAGTTGTGCAAAACATCTATGGGAGCTACTTGGGCACGTTTCAAAGCATCTATATCCTTTGCCTTAGTAATTCTGCTTCTAGAAATCTGTACTAAGAAAATAATTAGAAAATGCACAAAGACAGTCATGATAGCATTATTTCTTTTCTTTTTTTTTTTTTTTTTTTGAGTTGGAGTCTCACTCTGTCGCCCAGACTGGAGTGCAGTGGCTGCTCCCGGCCACCGCAGCCTCGACCTGCTGGGCTCCGGCGATCCTTCTGCCTCAGCCTTCCGAGTAGCCGGAATTACAGGCATGCGCTACCACGCCCGGCTGATTTTTTGATTTATTGTAGAGATGAGGTCTCGCTGCCCAGGCGGGTCTCGAACCCGTGGGCTCAGGCAATCCACTCACCTCAGCCTCCCAAAGGCACGGGATTACAGGCTGAGCCACCGAGCCCGGCATATAGCATTATTTCTAATACCAAAAAGTACAAATGAGTCAGTTGTCCCATAACTAAAGATTTAATAAATATATCACGAAATAAGAGACTAGCATGCCCACACTCAAAAACAGTTAATGCTACAAACAATGGTTAATGGTATTTATGATATCCAACTATTTTTTATAATATTTTATGTAAATTACTCCAGGATTCCATTTTTGTTTTAAAAGAAAATACAACCAAGCATAGAAAAAAAATACCGTACACACACACAAAGGCAGGTCAAACGTTAATGGTTGTCTTCTATGATGCGATATTACGGATGATTGTTTTCTTTTTCTCTCTGTGACATTCTGTGTTTTTGTATTTACTCAATATTTACACTCATTACTCTATTTTGAAAAGCTGTAACTTTAAAAAGAAAAAATAAGTGTCCTCTCTTTTGATCTGCTGCTTCTGTGTGCTCACCCAGACTGCCCCTGCCTTTCTTCGGGTTGCATTTTCACGGTCCAAGCGCGCACAGAGAAGGACGGCCGCTTCCGAGGCCTGGGGAACCCTGAGGGCCACCCGAGCTCCGGGCGCAGCGTGGGCCAGTGCGGCGCGACTCCCTGCGGGGTGGTGGAGTGCCACAACGGGGGCACGTGCGCGGACGGCGGCTCCACCGTGTAGTGAGTATGGCGTTGCAGGACGGGGTCGGGCGCTTCCTTCCAGAAGAGTAGCCCACTTGCTGCCACTGCACTGTCACCGGTACTGCGCGGCCAGGGGTACTCCACTCTCACGGGTACTCTGCTCTCACGAGCACTCTACTCTCCCGAGTACTCTACCCTCACTGGTCCTCTATTCTCATGGGTATTCCATTCTCACTGGTACTCTCCAGTCTCACTAGTACTCCACTCTCAGTGGTATTCTCCACTCTCAATGGTACTCTCCACTCTCACTGGTCCTCTTCACTCTGAGGGTACTCCACTCTCAGTGGTACCCTCCACACTGGATAGTATTCCAATCTCACTTGTACTCTGCTCTCACTGATACTTTACTCTCAACGGTACTCTCCCCTGTCACTGGTTCTCACTCTCAATGGTCTTCTCCACTCTGAATGGTACTCTCAACTCTCACTGGTACTCTACGCTCACAGGTATTCTACCCTCAATGGTACTCTCCCCTCTTAGTAGTACTCCACTCTTAATGGTAGTCTCCATTTTCAATGGTACTCCACTCTCAGTGGTACTTTCCCCTGTCACAGGTACTTCCCTCTCAATGGTACTCTCCACTCTCACCGGTACTCTGTTTCCAGTGCTACTCCATGTACACAAAGTAGGAATAGAAACCCATTCTCATATTTTAAATGTTCTTGTATAGACTTGCCAGAGATGGGAGTACAAGTGAAGGCAACTGGAATAGGGGCAGCATGGAATTTATATCATCTTCTCAATTTTGTTAAACACAGAACGTGAATCACTTCATCTCATTCCAGGTGCCATGGAAAATCTAGCTTAAAGTCATAGGATGGAGAGCATGGACAGAAATGCTAACCACACAAAGGCCTAGGTTTTGGGATTTGCTTTCATATGTGGTTTGAGTTACTGTGGTAAGGGCCTTCTCTAGGTGGGCAATAGAAAAACAGCACAGCTTGGCTTTTGAACTAGTGTAGTATGAAACCAAACGTGGACCCGTTGAATAAGAAGGAAAGAAGAAAGGAAAAGTCCATCATAGTAATAACTCCTTTCATTAAGCATGTGCTCTGTGCAAAGTTGTGTATGAGGAGCTCTGGGAATAACCAAGGAAAAAGGACAAAAGCACTCTGTCTTTCCATTTCTTACACTCTCTCTCGTCACAAGTTTCCATGTCTCCTACCTGTACAAGACTAAAGGAGCGACTTGTCAACTGCTTCCCACAGGACACATCAGAAGGTCTGACGCACTCACCAGGAGCCCTGGCTCTCTGAAAGCAGCTAGGAAGTGGGGGCTGGAGCTCAGGGGTCGGAATCTCTCCGGCAGAGGGTGTAGCTTAACAGCCATGAGTGAATCCCTTACCTTCCCTGAACAATCCCACACCCCACTTCCTCTCTTTAGAAAATGGTCAAAAGCAAAGCTCAAACAGCTACTGATCACAGTAAAATTTTCAGAGAAAAAATAATGGGTAGTTTGACCAAGACCATGGAAGGACTAAGGGCAAACCTGAGACTTGGGATGCCACTATCAGAGAGCAGTTTTTGTTGGTATTAGTTTTACCATTGTGATTTCACCATAATTCCTCTATAATTTTTAATGAAGCCTCTAGTTTACTTTACAATGTATGCTACTTTAATGTGCCCAACAGCTAAGTTAAAGTAGAAGCACAAATTTACCTCAGTTTATTTAATGAGATGTGGTCATTTTTCAGATGCTTTTACTAGGTCTTTTTTTTTTAATTTTTAATGTGATAACAGACAAATTGATGGTGAAGAATGTAATAATAAACAGGGAACCTGGGAAATAACAGCAAGAAAGCACGTGGACCTGAAGGCAGGGATGGGAATCCACCCAACTCCTCATTACTCCATAGAACAAAGAGCATAACTGAATTTAAGAGCCACCTGACATTATCTTGGAATATATGGTGCCAAGTATAGATGGGTACTCAGAACCATGTGCAGATTATTTTGATTAATATAGAATTTTTCTTGAATTGTGATGATAAAATTAATACCGTACAATTTCACAGCACTTCATAAGTAAAGAAGCATTTCTTTACATATATTAGTTCCATTGTTCCTCATTAAAACCTTCTGAATTAGCTGGGCTCGGTGGCTCAGCCTGTAATCCTGCGCCTTTGGGAGGCTGAGGTGAGTGGATTGCCTGAGCCTGTGGGCTTGAGATTCGCTTGGGCAGTGAGACCTCATCTCTACAACAAATCAAAAAATCAGCCAAGTGTGGTAGCGCGTGCCTATAATTCCAGCTACTCGGAAGGCTGAGGCAGAAGGATCGCCAGAGCCCAGCAGGTCAAGGCTGCAGTGGCCAGGAGCGGCTACTGCACTCCAGTCTGGGCAACAGAGTGAGACTCCAACTCAAAAAAAAAAAACAAAAAAACCTTCTGAATTATACTCAGCCAGTATCCTAATATCCAGGCTAATAGGTGATAAAATAAGTCCCAGGGACAGTGAGTAAATCAAGAGCATGTGTGAGCACCTTGAGAGTAGCTTCCAGATCCAAGTCAGATCTTCCAGGTCCTGGGTCAAGATTCCTTCCAGAACCTACATAATAAGAAACGCATTTTTAGATAGCTAATAATTAAAATAAGATTTTAAAAAAGTGTTAAGTAGCTCTTTCACTACTAGTTGTAATCTGTTCATTTATTAACTTTAAAAAAACAATGTTGGGAGTTCCAGTAAGATGGCAACGGCACAGGTGGGACTGTGAGATTCTCTGAAAGTGAGTTCCCATAAAGACTCTTACTTTCCTTCCCCCACCACCCCGCCAACCACCAGCCACACCGGTCCGAGGCCTGGAGACCCTCGATCCCACACACAGCCAGCTACCACGGCCCTTCTGCCACTGCTGTTCTACCCCAGGTGGCCTTGGACCCGGCCAAGTGGAGCTCACAGCTCCCTCCCCGGCTACATCATCTCACCCGGCCTCAAGTCGCCCGCCACCGCCTGTGGTAGCCCACAGATACTGCCTTGTGGAGATCTGGGTTCCCTTGCTGGCTACACTGATCTGCCTGGCACTCAGCCACTGCCAGCTCCCTCCCTGGCTGGGTGCCCAGCCCAGTCTTGGGTCAGCAACCCCGGGGAGGCCCTCCATGCCTGCACCTCAGAACTACAGGCCCGATTCCCTCCTGGGGTGCCCCACCAGGTCCAAGGCCAACTCTGCCCATGTAGGCCCCCAGTGCCTGTGCCTCCGAGCTCTGTGCTGCCACTTGGGCTGAAGCACCCAACGCCATGGCCAGTGCTTGACCTTCGGAGTTCCAGGCCCCCTCCCTGGGTTCTGGGTCCCTGCCCAGCCCCATCTCAAGCTACCGTCACCCAGGGAGGCTCTAGGCACCCGACCCTCAGAGATACCAGCTCCATATCTGGCTGAAGTGCCCAGTGGGGGGCCCAAAGCCACTGCCACCACCCACCACCCACCTTATCCACAGACTGGACTAGTGGAGAGAAAGGACAAGTGGAGAGAAAGGATTGGTGAAAGAGGAGCCGCTCACTGCAGCCATTTTACTGGCAGAGATTTGCATTGCCCTGCCCATCTATGAGCAGCCTCCACCTTGGTTTCTAAGGTAACCTTGCCAAACAGGAGACAAAAGGCCCTCCCCTATGCTGAATCAGACTGTCCTGTGGCAGACCTCTCAGGCAGCAAGCCAAGGGAACCAACCCAACCTATGAGTAAGTCTATCTGCCTGCAAAGGGGAGAGGCTAGAGAGCAGAGCTGAAGAGACTTTAGACACTCAGGAAAGACTCCAGAGCTAGTCTGGTTTCTTATTTTGATATTTTATTTTATTGTTTTTACTGTTTATTTTGCTCACTTTTGTTTGCTTTTTGAGTTAGACTACTTGTTTGTGTTGGGGAAAAGCACATCAAAAGGCATGAATTTACTGGACTGTCTTTGTGTGATTACCAGTATGCTTTAGGGAATCTTGTTTGTTTGTTTATTTTTTATACTTTTCTGGCCTTGTGTCTCTTTTCATTCACTAGTTAGTATGTATATCTGTTTTCCCTCTTACTCTTCTCTCTCTCCAACTTCCTTTTGACCACCCCCCTTCTCCTATTATTTTCCTTTTTCTTACCTCCTTTGGTTCCAGGGAGCAAACCTAAATCCCACTGCATGGATAGATTGCAAGGCAGTGGGAAGTGGGTTCCAGTGTGCCCATACACCTGTTGGTGGATACTGGGAGCTGCAGATAGATTCTGAATCACAGCTTCCCCCTAATTAAATCTCAAAACTGCAAAAAGTACAGCCCCAACTTACAGTATAGCCTCAAAAGTGAACAAAGTCAGGGGACACTCATAAGGAAGAACAGGAGATAGAACAAAAAGAAGTAAAAGCAACCCCACATTCCCTGAAAAACAGAATTAAAGAAGGGGAGGGAAAGGGGAGAGAAAAATCTACACAAAAGAAGAAAAACCAAAAGAAAGATATGGGTCTCTCACAGACACCTGGGAGGTCAGACACTGAGAAAACTGACTTCAGAATGCAAACAATGAAGAGCCCCCAGAATGACTGGTCTCAAACTAAAAACCCAGATATCAAGACATTAATGGAGAGATTAAAAAGAATTGAAGAGAGGCAAGAGGAAACTAGGAAGGAGTGGATAATTGAGATAACAGTAGTAAAGAATACTGTGAATGAAATAAATAACAAACTGATAAGCATGGAAAGCAGAATTAGCCAAGCAGAAGAAAGAATCTCAGAGCTCGAAGACCAAAACACAGAACTAACCCAAACTGTCAAAAACATAGAAAAGAACCTTAAAAAGACAGAACAAAATCTTCAAGAAATGAATGATTACTTCAAGAGAAAAAAATCTAAGAGTAATTGGCCTTCCTGAGGCAGAGAGAGAAACAGAGGCCACACTGGAACAAACATTTCATAAAATCATTCAAGAAAATTTCCCTCATCTCATCAGTGATGAAAAAATTCAAACACAAGAGATTCAGAGAACCCATGCAAGACAACATATGAGAAGACCAACCCCC